GCCAAGTCTGCTCTCACCTCAAGCCATGACAACATGGTATTGAAAACAAGCTCCACACTTTCATTTGGTTCGCCTATCAGTTGATGCCACATCTCCGGGTAAATATTTATAGCCTTATCCTTACTTCCTGCCGATTTATACACAAGTTTAGCAGCTTCAGGATCACATACCTTATCTTCCCCACCTTGAAGAATCAGCAAAGGGACTTGTAGTTCATGAGAGTTCCTCTGTATATACTCACAGACTTTCAGAAGCTCTAGTGCAGTGGCAGCTGGTGGCTTCTCGGAAGCCAGGCGATTTGGACTTTTTGAGATAATCTTTCTCTTCCACTCCTCTTTGTATGATATAGATGCAGGTGGTTTGGTGATCACAATCCTCCATGATGGAGCTATGAAGGCGGCCAACGGTAGTAGCTTCTCCAGTGGCCAAACAGGTCTGTATTTCTTTGACACTCCAAACATCGGTCCACTTAACATCAGACCATTCCATACATTCTTTTGCCTTAGACATATGAGTGTAGAAATTGCACCACCTAATGACTCACCATACAGGAAAGCAGGGAGATTCGGGTGATCAGCACGAGCAGAGTCAAAGTACTGTATACAGTCTTGGACTAAAGGTTGAATACACGGTATGTAACCAGGTGAGCCTTCTGAGTAACCGTGACCTTGTAGGTCAAGAGAACAAACGAAAAATCCAGCTTTCACCATAGCTACTGCATTTAGCTCAAAAAGCCAACTGCTTTCGGACGTATAACCATGAATCATGCCTACAAGACCTCTTAACTGATTACTTGATTCAGGCTGCCAAGATTGTGTGAATATCTTCATGTTTTGTTTGTTTAACATGAAACTTTGTTTGTGCATGATTTTATGTTGCTTGTAAAACTCTTCTCTTGTCAAGTTACCATAAGGGCTGTTCTCATTAGATTGGAAAATTGGGTGAGACATTGTAATGACTGAGTTTGTCTGTTTGTGTTTTGTGTTTGTGTTTGTGTTTGTTGATATATACACACAAATGTGCATTATGATATATCTATGTTGTTCAAGAGTACTGATAGGGTTGGGAGTTTAGCCTCCCAACTGTTTCATGCTGGGGTAATAAATGGAAATATGAGACATGAAATCAGCTGTATAAATTTTAAGATAAGGATTTTATTTATTTCCACACCAAATTTGATTTCTTATAAATTTCTGTTTATTTTGTTTGGCATAATTCTACACACTAATAATTGACAACTCTTTAATGTAATAATTAAGAGGTTGGTGATTTGTTATATTCTAGTGATAAAATAAAGGCCAAATACATAAACAAATCCCTAAACTTGTTGGGTTTTTCCCCCCAAGTACCTCAATTACGTCATTTTTCAATTGAATCATTGAACCACCCATAATTTGTTTCTTTAAAATACTGTTGGTTGATTTTGATCAGCTTTTCTATTGTAAAAGTCTTCAATTGTGTTCGAATGTAATAATTTTGATTGAAAGAATGAAGACAAATCGTGTTAGTCTCATTTGTTTTCTAATGTGTTCAAATGACTCAAGTAAAATATAATTATTTTCAAACATTTTAACTATCAATTGGACTAATGATTTGTGGAACAACATATGTATCCTTTATCAATACCCCTCACAAATCTGGTTCCACATCAGACAACGGTGTTTGTTTAAACGGCACAAATTATGGGAGTTCAATAATTCGATAGGAAAATGACGTAGTTGAAATACCTGAAGGAAAAAACCCAACAAGTTTAGGGAACTGGTTATGTATTTGACCTAAAATAAAGGGCTAGTTAGCTATATTATTAGGACACGCCATGTAGCCAAATTATTATGAATTAAAAGTGAAACTCAGCAAATTTCAACTTATTACTCCCTTCGTTTTTATTTACTTGTCAAATATTTTCTATTTTGATTTCTACGAAGTACAACTCTTTTTTCTATTATACACTCAATTTTTTATCGTTGAGTTAACTTTTTGAAAAATACAGTGAGTAAATATGTTTGGAATCCTCTTATTTAATAGGAATAAAATGGTAAACTCACTATATCAATCATTATTCTTTTAACAAGCGTGTCAAGTTAAAATTTGACAAGTAAATAGAGACGGAGGGATTACAAATCAAAAGTGTAATTCATAAAATTTTAGATAATATAACCAAGCAGCTGAGGAAGAAGCATTATTACAATGCAGTCTTTTGCATTATTTTAGTGGTATAATTAGATAAAGAAAAAAAGTGAATATTATTTCTTGGTGTAACTCATATTATGATCTACCACCAATTACTCACTAAAGCTTAAATTATGTTCAATAATATTATTATTCCACTAGCTCATTATTTAATTTATGGAAGAATTTGTACACCTATAAATAATGGTGTTTGATGAATAAGTGTGGAAAATAATTGAAGCAAGCATGAAGAACATGAGGCTAGTGTAATGAAAAAGATAAAATTGAAAATAGAGGAAAAAATTACCATCAATCAAATGCATCATAAATTTTATCTCTAAGTTTAATTTTAGGATATCTTATCTAGTGTATCAGACCATCCCTACGTCTTCAATCTCTTCTCTACCAAAAAAAAACTGTAATTTTCTCAAAGGAAATTGCTTTTTATTGATGGAGCTTTAAAGATCGAAATCAATAATTAGTTCGGAGTTTTTTAAGTCATATAATATTTTCGAGCTACTATATTTTAGACGTAACAAGTCGAAAATATTACTACTCTAAGTAAACTTGAATATCTTTAGAAAAGCAAAATATCTTTATTTATTTTTCCATCATTTTTATTTCAACTCTCAACTGTATTAATTATTTTTCCACCAAACATTTTTACATGCAAGTAGTAGATGCAAGTTGCAACAAAAACATCCTTGAATGGGCTATGGAATTTTTAAGTCTAAATTCAACTCAAACTTTGGTATTCAAAGGAATAACACATCCAAATAAAATAAATAAAAAAAAATATATCTTATAATGTATATTTTATGGATACATATAACAAGAAAAATAAAATCTTAAATGCAAATCAAGCTACTTCAAAGCAAGTAGGTACAATTGGCAGGGCAAGATTAAATAGTGAAGCAACTAAAGTTGTTGCTTTAAAACCCAAAAATCAAATTTTCCTAATGTGTATATTATTAATTAAATTTAAATTTCATATATTATTTAGTATAAATAACTTTTCTATGTCATTAGATCGTCTAATTGATATTTATACATCTATTTAACCCTGCCTTGGAAGCTTCTACCTTTTTGCTTCCTTGTTGACTCGAACTCGCAACCTTCAGGTTATAAGTGAGTGTTGCATACCATCCGAGCAATTCTTTCTCGTCAATTGATATTTATATGTAAGTATCCTTGAAAAATCAAATTTTTAATTTTAAAAATAAAATATGTTATATATATAAATTAATTTTGTTTGAGGCCACCATATTTGTTTAGTTGCCTCTGTCAATGGGAAACATCATGACTTGTCGCAATCTATGTGTTAGATTTGTTTTTTTGTTTTTTCTTTATAAATAGACGTATCAACATATAATATATATTAAATGTTCTTTTAATTTTGTTTGAATTTTTTTTATGAAGTTGAAATTAAAAATAGTGTTTGGTTTAGTTATATTTCTATTGCAAAGAAGAGAAGAGAGAATGTTATATGAAATTTATGAAGATGGAAATGAAATATAGGTTTGAAACACTTTTTTAAATTATAGCAGAAAATTGTATAATCAAACAATGAATTTAGAATTAAAATAAAAAATTATTTCATGACAAATAATTCTCATGATGAAATAACTCCTAAACAACTTCTTACTAATACTTTGATGTACTTGTTTAGAAATTTTTTATGTAATGGCAAATTATTAATTCAAATTAAATGTTATAATCATAAATTACTGTTGTCAGTCGCTTCTCTTCCTGAAATTCTCGCTCGTCACTCTTTCCCTTAGAAGTAGTCGAAGGGGGTTTGACATTTATTATATGTACATAAAAAATTTATTTTAACCATTTATAATTTAATATAATTTTTCACCGAAAAGAGTTCAAAATCCCAAGTTGGCTCTGGCTTTTCGTTCAATAATTAAGGTCTTTTATTAGTTGACTTATGATGCAATTTTTATTTTTATGTACTATGATGGGTTACACTAAGCCATTAAACCAAAAAAAAAAAATTGTCGTTACACTTTTAAAATTTTCTTAGTTCTTGATCTTTCTTTTTTCAAGTTCGGATTTTTCTTTCAATTTTAAGCTTTTTGGTGTCAAGTTTAGTATAATGAGTAGTAGAGTTTGAGTGTTTTTTTCCTATTGATGTTAATATTAGCTTCGATGAAATTATAAACTCAAATAGGGTTATCAATGATGCAATGGACTTTTTTTGGTTAGGGTTTATAGAACAGAGTGAAAATCATTTTTTTAAAAAGTAATTATCTATTTGATATATATATATAACATCGTCACCATTACATTAATGAGATGGATATAATTTGACTTTTTTTTACGTGAATATGATGTGTCATTCATGTCAAATCAAGTGAGAAACACCGGCTGACATAAGGGTTTAGAATTTCTATTTTGTTTGAGTCGAAGTATCTAGTCCAAACTATGAATAGTAAAAGGGTCCAATTTACAATTCGAATCAAGTATAAGGGTCTACCAAACTCTTTCCCTTTTAGTTATAATGACTTTGTAGTTTGTAGATTAAATTAATCTGAAGTCCTAATTGAGTGCAAATTACTCAATTCTCCCAATCAAGGAAAACATTAGAAAAAGGTACAAAAGCTCAAAAACAATTATTTTGTATCACTGTCAAGTGTCAAATGATCAGCAAGGAAGAATTCAACTAATTTATGGAGAGAAAACTACTCTCTCCGTTCAGATTTGTTTATGAATTCCCAATGAGTTTTTTAAGCAATGAATTAGTAAAATTGTCTTCTTATTGATTTCTATGTGTGTAAAAAGAAAGATGATCAACTAATATCGTACCAACGGAATAATCGACAGTTCCAGAATTGAATTATTCAATAAAAGAAAAATGATAAACACATGGATTTCCATAACTAAACTAGCCTAAAGTAGGCTGTACATTTTGATTCTCTATATACAAGAAAGCTGACAAAATGTACCTAAAATTTCACAGCTGCAACTAAGATGTGGGGATTTTCCTGTCCGATGATGATACACAATATACAGAACTAACTAGGATCTCACCCTCTACAAGACAGGTCAGTTGAAACTTCAAGAACTTTGTGCTATTTCAAGTTGCTACAAACTACATGTCGTCTGTCCCGCTGAACTAAAATCTGTTTTTCTAGCATCGTGTTGAACTTCAAACTAGGACCAGCAGGATTGGAATGAAAAAACACCGGGAATTAGACTCTTTATCTGTTCAACAAAAGAAACAAGAGTCAAGGACTGGTTGATTTATGGAAGGTACAGTTTAAGTAAAACCTGAGATATGTTCTGATGTCTTGCAGTAGGCATGATTACAAGCTACTGCACCTGTTATTTTATACTTCTGTTTTTTGTGATGTTTCCAATTTTTATCTTGTTTAACTGCCATGAAAAAATCTGCAGCATGACACTTTTCTTATCAATAGCTATTTTGCAGTTAGCTCTGCAAGATCCTTTTGTTCTAAAAGCCACGGGTGAGTTTCACGTCTTTTCTCTTATGTGTCCCCTCTTTCTACCACCAGCAGCTTATTTCATACTCCGATTTCACCAACTCCACCTTTGATTTTTTTTCATTTTCTGATTCCTCTTTAGAATTTACAAAAGCAACCTTTTTTTCCTCCGCCCTAATCCTTTAAAGATCACACCTTTCTTCATCAGCCCTAGTTTTCTCAACCTTTAATTTTTTTTGTCAACTCATCTATTTTCCTCCCCTTTTCAGTTTCTTTTCTTTGTTAGAGAAATGCCTGAGGAATAATGGTGCATGGTTATACAAAGCAGTTAATTTGCTGTCCTTAGTTCCCCTCTTCTTGAGTAGGTGACAGTTTTTCCGCAAATGTTTTCATTACTCCCTCTATTCATTTTAGCTGGCAACGTTTGACTTGGTCTGGAGTTTATGAAACTCAGAAAGACCGTTAGCACATATACCAAAAGTACCGTTACAACTTGGCGGGGGACATAAACATGCCTTGACATTTCTTTGGGTACAAGACCATGTCACTAAAGGCAAAATGAGAAGCAGATATAAAAAGGTGTCATTCATTTTAGAACAAATTAAAAAGAAAAAGTGCTACTTAATTAGAATAGAGAAAGTAACTAACATCAATTTAGTATTCAAGAAAAATACCAATAGTTAGATTCTCATAAAGGTCTGTCTTAAGAGGCTGATCTAGCTAACAACAATGGAACCAAATTTTACGCAATATCACCCACTGAAAAGTGAAAACTATACTTTAGTAGAAGAAAAATTACCTTAAGCAGGAGATGATTTTACTAGCTTGGTAGACTCTCCAGTTAATTCCCTTTTGATCAGCTTAAGAATCTCCATAATCTGCATTAAAGTAAGCAACATGTAAACAAGATATAATATTGCCCCATATTAATGCAATTGCATGCTTCAGAGGTGACAAAAAATTATACTGGAAGTAGCTATCCTCCCATGCCCAAAATACCCGATTATCTTCAGTGAGAGAGCAAGAGCAGTAGAATTAGTCTTCACCCCTCATCACTTGACCTTTAACCATTGGTTTGTAAAAGTTGCACATGCTAACAACTAAATACCCAGCTAATAACTTGTATTTTATGTTCAGATGCAAAGGACATATTCTCATTTTGAAGCCTGCCTGAACATACTTGAAGAATTTTGGAACTTAGAGATGAATACTCTACGCATATAACTGAATCCAAAAAAAGCCAGACTAACATTTGTTTCACAGGAAAAATTGATATAATATATATCTTTTAAGTGTGATTTATCTTACCCCAGGATAATGCTGTAAAACTGGCGAGTAATGATCAAGCGCTATGTAAATCTTCTCAACTAGGCTTAGAAGTGTATCCACCTCATCTCCCAAAAGATCAACCTGAATGTACAAGAAATCCTCTGAAAAACTTCGTAAACCGTAGTAAAACATCAAAAAGTTAAAGCATGATGCAATTTTGGGCAATAGGTTAAAAAGGTGGTGGCTGTAGCAATTGAGCTATGGATTGAAGTTGAACTGACCCCAGAACACATATATAAGCGAAAAATTACAAATTTCAACAAAATAGACAATGACCCATAATTTCAAAAGTAAAGTGAGTTCGGTGATAACAACTTTACAGATCAAACTCATCAGGTTCAAATCACGGATCCAACTCTAGGTAAAAAGCCCAAGTCCCAATTAAAAATATTGCATATAGTTAATTGCTAATTATCTGCAAAAACAGAAATATAAAGAAAGATGAATTCTGTGTAATTGCCTCAGCCTCAGCCAATTTAAGGTCTGAACATCGTTTTTCAAGCCTTTGTTGATACAGTAGTGTTGTTCTTCTCAGCAAATTGGCCTTCTTAACAAGACAATCCATTTGAGAAAACGAGTGCTCAAACCTGAAAGTATTACCAACAAATTGCATTAGGTCTGAGTGAGGATAATCAATGTAAACTCCGCAAGAGTCACGTCTTCTAAGCAGAACAAGCTTTGAGCGTGTATTTGTATACCAGTTAAAACAAAAATGTTAACACATCTTTCTCCCTATATCCCCTACAAACAGAATGATTACGCCAATGCCTAGAAAAGTGATGGCAAGTCAAAACACTACCAATACTTCAGAAACAAAAATGGAGGGGAATGGGGATTGAACAACCAATACACCACAGCTATTATATTATTTGAAAAGATGCGCGCACACACACAACAATATCAACTAAGGAGGCTTTGTTGGCTGAAAAAATAGATAAAGCAAATTCTTTTTCATCTTTTGGCAGACAGAAAACTCAATTATTGGAAAAAGTTGATTAAAAGCAAAGGAGAGTTTCACCATAGTCCATACAACTTCCGATTGCGCAAATATGAAAAGAAATGATAAGGTAGAAGGATATAGTCAGTTAATAGGTCAACAAGAACGAAATCTCCAATACCATGGATACAGTGACACCAAAAACTAAATCTTTTTTCCCATAGGAAAATATGCAGGTCAATACTAAATCTTCTTTCAAATAAGAAAATATGCAGGTCAATACAAGAAAAGTAAAAGGGAAAAGATGAAAGTTTAACATGGCCTCAGCTATTAAATCTGTAAAATTAATCCCTTAACTAGTTTTTCTGGCATTAAACCCTTATTCCATACTAAGTGCACATCAGTCACTTGTTAGTTGTTAGAAAACCATCAAATTTTGTAATCTCTCTCTATTCCTTTCTTTTATCTTGTTTTCATTTTCTTCACCTTCTTCCTTCTCAATTTCATGTCTTAAAAGTACCACTCCCTCTGACTGCCGCTCCCTATAGGAATTTCTTACTTTAGTAATTATTTGATAAATGCCTTTGGCTTAGTTGTATACTTGTATCTGGTTTACGTTGTGGAATGTTTTGATTGGTTGGGGAAAGTTAAAGTAAGAGTAAATAAGCTTTCGATTTGCTTTGTCTACTCCTAAAGTAAATAGCAGCCCCAGATTGCTTTGTTAAGGAAAGTGAACCTTCATTCTAGCTTTTCTCTCTCTTTTGTGGTCTTCATCCCCATTGGCATGCGCACAACTTTCTCCCAACATCCCCATCTTTAATTACTGGTGTATGCCTCTGCTGGTTGTAATTGGAGGAAAAAACAAAAGAAGTACCGGATCTAGATCATTGTTTCCTCAGGATGGGATGGAAGCCATTTTTGTTGGGAAAGAGAAAGGAGAAGAAGGCATGGGTCCATAAATGCTTTTGTAAGGGATGGGGGAGAAGGGGCACTAGCAATGTAGAAAAGAGGAGGGAGAAAAGGAAAAAAATTGACACAACTCTAGACTTATATATACACCAGTACCATTGACTTGTTAGGTACATGAGATTTGGGCTCCTGTTTGAAAGAAAAAGTTAACACAAGGGAGCAGATAGCTACATGTTGAGAAGAAGAAAGGGAACAATACCACAAATTTACAGGAATGTTCCGCTGCAAATGGAAAAGTATAAATGCCACTAGAATAGTGTCTTTTTATGTATTTTAAGGTCCTTATGGAAAGAACAGAACAGCAAGCATTCAGAAAAGAAGTCCATATTAGTGTTTGTTTTAGAAAGTAGAGTCCTACAAATGTTATGTTCTTGGTGTGATTTGCAGTTCCTTTGGGCTGAAAAGCCTTTTATTGACATCTTATATTTTCTGCATATTTGAAGGGTAAAAAAATCCTTTTTTATGTACATTTTGGCACTATGATATTCCAATTACTTATCGAAAAAGAAACGAAAGCACAAACCTTGCATTATTTGTTTTCAACCTTCCTGTCACCCTGCATTCAAAATCAGCAATCATTTTTGACGATTCATTTATATTACCAATTATTTTTTCCACCTGCTTTCTTAGCGCTATTTCTTTTGATTCAAGAGAGGACAAAAGAGTTTGCCTCTCTTCAGAAATAGCAAGGACCATATTTGCCCTGTGATTAGCTTCTTTTAACTCCTCAGTCTTCTCCTCAAGACTTATATTTAATTGGGCTACCTCCTCTTTCAGTACTTCAATTCGCTCCACTGCTTCTGCCAACTGGCCCTTTATTACATTTACTTCTTTGTTGCACCCAGAAGCTAATGTTTGTTGTTGACTTGCAAATTCTTTCGCAGCATTCAACTCTTGACGAACCTGCTCAGACTGAACCCTCTCTTTTGCTAGAGCAGCTGATGCATCTGTTGCTAACTTCTCCTTCTCGTTCACTAACTTTTCCATCTGCATCAGTCTGTCCTTCTCTTCAACCTCGAATTTTAATTTGTTTTCCATCTCAATAAGTTTTGTATCAAGAGAAGTTCGAATTTCTTTTTCATTCAAATGCTCCAAATACAGTTCCTTAAGCATATCTTTAGCCTCCTTAATGCCTTCACCGGAAATCACTCCACAAATTTCTTGCATAATCAGGCACTCCATCTCTAAATCTTCAATTTCAATTTTTCTGGTACTTCCAGCACTAGTATCATTACTTTCATTAATCATATTAAATCCCAAGTTTAACTCCTCAACTTCATTTCTTGCCCCGCCACTGAGATCTCTTAGAAAACAGGTATACACGTCTTCCCTTACAGAACCTCCTATCAGTGACTCTTCCATGGCTAAATTGAGTTCTCCTATCTGTTTTAGCATGCCTGCTTCTGCCAAAGAATGTTGCAGCCTCTTCTCAGTGGCATCTGAAACTTGGGACAAAAGGGACTTAACTTCATTTTTCTTTTCTTTAACCAAGTCTCTAAGCTGGTGATTTTCAGAAAGAAGGTTATCAAGCCTATCCTTTAAGTTACCGAAACTTAGAGTCTCCTGGGTAAATGCAGGATGTTTTTCATTCTCTACCAGAATATCATCCAATTTGAATATAATTTCTGGAATCTTCTTCCTTAGAATGTCAGATTCACCCTTATCCTTTTTATGAGGCACAACAGAGCCTCCTCTAAGATTTAAATACTCTGCCCTTAGAACAAAATATTCATCGGTTTTCTTTTGCAGAATGGACTCATGGTGTCTCTTCATCTTTGTCATTATATTATTAAAATAGGTCACCATTTCATCTTTTGACATGTGCTTCAACGTGACAGCATCAAAATTCTCAGGTATATCAGTCTTAGAATCCTCCAGCTTTCCATTTCCATCCCAAACTGATTTTGTAGAAGTCACGTACTCACTTGATTTCTTGCGTGTAAAGAAATCTGCATCATGCGATCCATGGGAAGTCACATGCCCATTTTCTGAACTTGACAATGACTTCAAAACAGCATCCAACTCCGTCCGTAAACTAGAGATGGCATTCAACTTCTCATTTCGGTCACCACATAATTGAGCATACTGGTCCCACAGTTTGTACTCAAATTCTTCTTGCACGGTCCGAATTACACACCGCATTACCATGGACTCAAGCTCCACTTTGATTAGATGTTCCTCCTGCCAGTGATGAAGTGATGTCTTGGACAACTGTAGCATAACATCCATACGTTTAAAGACGGTGTCCACCATCATTCTTATGTTGTCTAGTGTTTTGTCCAACTGAACCCAAATTCCAGATTCTTTCTCCTGTAGAATACCTTCTAGTTTCGCCATCTCAGAGCGAGAGATCTTGTTACTAACAGAATTGGATCCTCTGAGCTCATCAATACTCTTCTTCAACTTCTTGAATTCATCTTTCGCCAAACTTCTTAGCCCATCTAGAAACTCTCCCATCTTACCATGCTCCATAAAAACATCTGATAAAGTCATACATTTTCGAAAATCCATGCTTTCTAGCTCATTCTGCGACATAAGTGACCCAAAAGATTCAAGTTCAGTTTTGCTAAGACCCCCTTCATGAAATTGCAAATATTCCTTCAAGTTGGCTAATTCCATATCCTTAGTCACTAGTCTCTCAGCTGCCTCTTGTTCCACCGCACTCACTATCCCCTTAATCACTGAGTCACTTACCATCCTTGATACCATTAAGCGGTCATTAACATCTTCCCAGTATGTTTCAAAATCCTCCAAAATCTCATCACCCAAATTCTCATTTTCCTTTGCACCATTAACCATTTGCTCAAACCCGCCATTTGTCATCCCACGGACCTCATCACCACATGACTTCACACCATTCCGATTCCCATTTCTCACCACCCAATTCTCTAACACCTCTGAACTGCCCATAACTAAAGCATATCTGCATATATTTTTCCCAATATTAGAACACTCAAACCTCCAAAATAGAAATATCTTAAATTAAGCTTAGAAAAATCAGTTTCAACAAATCAACCATCAAACAGACATACCCTTCATGAAAATATACACTGAAATCCATCAACCAGAAGAAAATAATTAAAACAGAGAAAAAAACAAAAACCCACTTCACAAAAGTCACCATTAAACAACTACCCCACACTAAAGCTAAACATACTCAAACAAACCCCTGAAATTTCACAACCCCAAAAAAAAAAAAACAGAAAACCAAAAAAAGATAGAAGAAACTAAACACACTCAAAAGCTCAATTAACACAAACCCAACAAAGAAAAAAAAAACTCCGAAAGTACACAAATTAGGCAAAAGGGTGTCCAATTATTACAACTATTAATCAAATAATTAACTAAAACAATACTCAAACAAGAAAAAAAAAAAAACTTAAATGTATGAACTTACAAGGAAAGCAATTGATATTCTCCTTTAAGCAATAAATTACCAAAAAACTCAAATGGGTGTTTGTTAAATGCTAAGATACAGCAATTCTTGAATTCTTCTGAAGAAATCAGTGGAGTTGTTAGCTTTAGGGTTTTTTGGGAGAGAGTAAAATTAGCTTCAACAAAGTTTGGGGAAATGAGCGGGAGTGATTAATAATTATATACATATATAATAAGAAATGAAAGATTAAATTAAATGATTTTTTTAATTATTTTTCTTTCTTTTGGAACGTTTGATTATGGAGTTTGATTTCTAATTAGAGAAAAGGTTGATTAATTGAGAAGATAGTCATAGTAAGTCAATTATATATTAATATATTGATTAACAAAATATATATACGTTGCACTACTTTAATAATATAGTAATATGCATATAGTGCATGTCAATTCATCAATATATTTTAAAAAAATATTTATTGACACGAGAGATTGTAATTTACAACTATTTTAATTAAAAAAAGATATCACATAATTGTAAAGCATAGTAGGTTTGTTTTTATTTTTATTTTTATTGATATTCAGTGTTGCATTAGAGTTCGATTAAATTATATTTCGCATAGAAAAAATTCATATTAAATGCTATAACATTTTCTAACATCAATTTCATAACTAAAAAAAGCAACCCTAACATATTAAGTTAAGTATGAAAATTTATTTATCACTCTACGATAACAACGAGATGATATTTTTGATAGTAATAAAAATAATTTTCTTTACTAAAAAAAAGTAATTGAAGATATGGGGAGGGCTGTAGATAGCCCCATCAAGTGGTTGACCGCATATATATTTTGTTCGTATGTGAGTGACTTCTTAGAATTTTGTGATTTTTATGAGAGGAGATTTTTAATTTCTCTATGGATATGTAAGTTGTACAATTTTGTTTAAACATGATTTTTATTTGGTGTATAATAAAACTCACATGGTGTCTGTCAGGTGTTCGAGCATTTATTAATTTCGTTACGAAATATATATATTTATATAGAAATTGATAAATATTTGTATAAAAATAACATAGAGCACCAAATGAATAAATGATATAGTTAACTCAATCAATGGTTTTTGAATTGGTATTTAAGACTCTTTTAGTATTGTTGTACAAGACGTTAAGTTGGAAGGGGATTTCGAATGAGCTGAAAATTTTAGCGTGTTAGTAAATTTTTTTTATGATGTTTATCTACCATTCAAAATGTCACATTTCGATATAGAAAATGAAAATATAAATATAAATATAGTTGTGATGGGAAAACTTATGTGTTTTAAATTGATAGATTCAAACGGTTAATAAATTATTGTTAAAGACTTAAATTATGATTATTTAAATATTAAATTCGTTTTAGTAATGAGTTAAAGTGATAATTCCAAATTTGACTAAACTCAATAACTTTGAGTCAAATCTTATGTTTGTCTCAAAATTCATCAAATTTACATATACTATTGTTTAAAAGGGAAAATTGTATGTTATAGCAAACTAATAACCTAAAATAAATAGAGTAACTAGGGTTTGATTTAATTGTGCTTCATAGCAAACCTTTGCAAAAAATTGTCAGGTGCCTTTCTCTCAAATATCTCGCTCGCTTCCTCACTTTTTATACAAACACAAGTGTATAAAAATTGTTTCTAATTGTATAAAATAGAGAAAATTGTATAAATACATATATTTTTGTTCTCCTCTCTCCCCTTTTCCAGATCTCGCTCGCCACTCTCCCAAATCTCGCTCGCCACCCTCGCCTTTCTCACTTATACAAACAGAAGCGAAATATATAAATTGCGTTTCTATTTGTATAAAGCGTGAGAAAATTGTATATACACATGCAAGTAAATATATTTTCGTCCTATACACTTATAATTATACAATAAAAATACTCCCCTGTCCAATTTCTTTTGCCTTTCTCTCTTTCTCGTTTTATACAATTTTCAAATTGTATCTAATTTCTCTCTTTCTCGTTTTATACAATTCGATTCAATTGTATATTCCTTGTCAAGTCTCTTTTGTCTTTTTCTCTCTCTCTTTCTCATTTTATACAAATTTAAATTGTATATAATCGTTTTATAGACTTATAATAATACAATTCGTTTTTATACAATTCTCTGCCCAAATGGCTTTCTCTTTCTTGTTTTATACACTTCGTTTTATACAATTTGCTTCAATTGTATATGTATAACGAATTATACAGTTTCTATGTTTGCTATGGAGCGTAATTATGCAAACTTTGCTACAACATACAAATATAAATTTTTTATTTGCTATATGTGAAAGTTGCCCTATTTAAAATATAAAAACTTATAAATAAAATATCTAAGCCTTATAAATTTCAAAATCAAAATATTTCCCCAGATTTTTAATTACGTTGTCCACATAAAGTAAAACAAACATAATGTCATTGCTACTGTGAAATCCTAGTAGTTTGGCAGTAAATTAGTGTTGAATATTTTTAAACTAACCAAAAAATAATAAGTCAATTGCTAGGTCAACATGTACTTCAAAAATAGGAAAATTAAACAGTTAGAAAAAAGAAAACCTAGAAATAGTAAAGGTCAAATAATAATTCAGATGCTAAAATAGTTTCTTTTTTCGGTTATACTCCCTCCGTTCGAAAATGTTTGTCATATTGCGCATATCAAAATCAAAGACTAATTTTTAAAGATAAATTAGATCACATTAGTTCGATATTTTAAATAAAAAAAATTAAATATTCTAAAATTATATGAAAAGTACTATAAATTATAATTTTTTTGCATATTAATATGATAAAAAAATGCATCTTAAAATATTAATTAATTATTTTATAGTTTAACTCTAAAAATAGAAATCAGGACAAATAATACCGTACGGAGGAAAATACTGCAAAATCTTAAAATAGATTTCCTTGGAAGGTAGACCAAAAAAAAAAAACAGCTCACATGACTGCAAAATATAGTGTTCCTTTTGCCGATTATGAGTTATGAAATGGATAATTTTTATTTTTAATCAGAAATCACATATTTGAGTTTTGATATATGAAAAAAATTTATTTAAAGTGTTATCGTTGAATGAATTATATAGTGCACTATTCGAATTTAGTCGGAACTTTATTAAATCAAAAAAAAAATCGTCTTTATTTCATTAAATTTATGTAACCTACTTATTTTTTAAGGTATGTTGTACATGTTTTTATTTAGATTATAGTCTTTATATAAAAGGAAAAAAAATACAAATAAACAAATAAATCAATCTCATTTGAAACTTAAACATGCTTATTCATTCTCTTTCTATATCCAAATCAGTCTCACTTTTCAATTTATCAATCTAAAAATATATGTTTAGTTTAATTTTTTTCTTATTTTCATCTATAGTTTGATCAAATTAAACTTGTGTTATAACTTTTTGCATGTCATTAAGGAAAAATATGAAGCTCATATCACTGCAAGTATTTGTATAGTATAAATTTAAATGGATAAGAAATCTCAATGGAGCCATGCATGGAAATCATAAATCATAAATAAGAATTTACTTTGCTGATTCATTCCTTAATTATTATTTTTTAGGAATTTTACAAATAAATGTGATTATTTATAAAAAATAATATTTTTTCGTTCACAATTATTTGTCAGGGTAAGGTCATACATTTCTCTAAAAAAATTTTAATATAAGGTATAATTTGACTAATATAACAATAATATCAAAAGTCTACATGATTTTTCAATTGAACAAAGTGGAGTAATTATTTAGTGCAGAATGGGAAAAAAAATTATTTCTTAATTGTTCAAATTGACAATTAATCTTGGACATTTATTTTTAGTATACTTGTCAAACATTTGTGGACGGATGAGGGAGTATTAAAAAATTAATTAATGGCTTTTTGATTTAGTAATGTGGACAACTAATATGGGATAATTATTTTCAATAAGACAATCAACTACTTCCATCGTCCACCAATAGCTGTCCACTATATTATTTTGAAATGTCCTATAAAACTTGTCCAATTTATGAAATCAATAGATAATTTTACATTTAATTCCTAGATTACCCTTATCATTAATTATAGTCATTTTTCTATTACACTTTTCAAGATATTATATTTACTATATTCAAATAGTAATATAATAAAATTACTTTTATACTTATAGTTTCTTTAAAAATGTGTAGAATAAATAGTCAACAAGTATTATTTGACAAATGAAAATGAAAGTGACAAACGAGCGAGTCAAGTCGAATATTAATTGATCGAAAAATGAGTTAAATAAAAATGAAAAAAATCGCTTGTAACATTGCACGTTACTTGAGTTCTTAGATATGCAATTTCTGCTAAAATATATCTTTAGTGCCAAATATTGTTGTAAATGAGTTGTTATGTCATTGTCTTCGTGAGTTGCTTTAGTAATTAAGCCAACTTAGTAAGTATTATAGTGAAGTCTAAGCCATAATTCCATTTTAGTTTGTTTTGAATTTTTAAATTTACTAGTAGTATATTTCTTTCTCTATTTTAATTTATTTGACTTATTTTAACTTAATATAAAGTTAAAAGAAAATAAAGAATTTTTGTATGTTGGTAAGGTAGTCAACAATGAATCACTTTTCTTTGCAGCAACCTTTTCTTGCCATAAATTATGAAGATTTATCTAGTTCTGGAACAAACAACGTTTACAAGCTCACACTTATATACGGTGGGGTGCACATGCATCTGGTAACTTTCAAAAAAATTATATGAATATATTTTTTGAAAAACTGGTAGAAATTTAGATATAATTAAATGGACACCCATAAAAAACATGTAAGTGCCTTATGCAATTGGTAGAAGCTAAACATATCATCCTCTAAACCAGGGTTTCAATCCCAGTTAAACTTTTTTTAATTTAAATTTAGCTTAGCCCTCATATTTGAGCTATGTTTATATTGGTGCGCCCAAAGTCTTCAAATCTTGGGTTCGCCTCTGCTTATAGTCATAGCTTTAGTTACATTTAAACAAGCTCACATCTAAAATGTTGGCTTCCGTTGTTAATTTTGATACTCGATCTTGTTCATGTTGTATTCATGGTTAATTTTGATGTTTTTATTTGAAATTGTTAAGCAAAGATACTCTACTATAATTGATAAAATCATATTATTGTTGATTCGATCCTCCTATCCTTACACAATATTTATGTTATAATAGATTTTTTTTATGATAAATTAGTTAAATCTAGCATGGGTGGAAAATGCTTTACATAATGGAGTTT